TGCCTTAAAAACTATGGTAAATGGTAAATCTCCTGGAATAGACGGACTACCGTGCGAATTTTACAAACTATTTTGGAAATCTCTCGGTAAACACTTCTTAAACGTAATTAACTCTTGCTTTGATAACAAATCCCTTACCCCCTCTCAAAGAATTGCTTTAATTTCTTGCCTCTTTAAAAAAGGCGACAGAGAAAACATTAAAAACTGGCGCCCCCTCAGCCTCTTAAATTGTGACTATAAAATCATAGCCAAAGTTCTAGCAAATCGTCTTTCGAAAGTCCTAACTAGCATTATAGCTGAAGACCAAACTTGCTCTGTTCCCGGCCGCTCAATTTTAGGCAATTGCCATGCCTTACGAGACATTATTCAATTCTCTGAAAATGAAAACCTCCCGGTCGCTCTATTATCTATTGATCAAATGAAAGCCTTTGATCGTGTAAATTGGAACTTTCTCCTTAAAACACTTGAAAAATTCAATTTCGGTCCTGTTTTCATTAGCTGGGTAAAACTTCTATACACTAACATTGAAAGCAAAGTTAAATGTAACGATTTTATTTCCGACCCTTTCACTCCTAGCAGAGGTGTCAGACAAGGTTGCCCCCTCTCTGCCCTTCTTTACGTTCTCATTGCTGAGGTGTTTGCCGCTAATGTTCGCTGTGACCCCGCAATTAAGGGTGTCACTGTCGGTAAAACTGAATTTAAAATTATCCAATACGCAGACGATACTACCCTTCTTCTTCAAGGTAACCAATCTTTACTCGCAATTGAAAATCACATTGCGAACTATGAAAAAGCCTCTGGTGCTAAAATAAACAAAGATAAAAGTGAAGGCCTCTGGCTTGGTAGTTTTAAAAACCGCCCCGATTCCCCTCTAGGTTTTAACTGGAAAAAGAAATCCCTCAAAATTCTTGGCCTCTATTTCGGTACTGAAGACACAAATAAACTGAACTGGGAACCTAAAGTTTCTAAATTTATTAAAACATTAGATCTCTGGAAGTCGCGTGACTTGACCTTTAGGGGGAAGGCCGTTGTCGTTAATCAGCTTGCAAGCTCTGCACTCTGGTATACAGCTTCGGTTTTCCCAATACCCCAATGGGCAGTCAAACAACTTAATGAAAAACTTTGGCATTTCTTTTTTAACGGCAAACGACCCCCGATCCCTAGATCTCAAGCTAAACTACCTTATCAAGAAGGTGGCCTCAATGTTCTTGATATAGAGAAAAAATGTAACAGCCTCCTTTTATCATGGCTAGCCAAACTCGTTGCCCCCGAACAAACAGGCAAATGGAAAGTTCTCTTTGATCATTTCTTAGGAAAATACAAAAATCTAAATATCGGAAAAAATATCCTTAAATGCTATTTACAGTCCCGCGAAATAAACAAACTACCTCCCTTCTATAAACACACCCTCCGTGCATATCTCGCTATTACTAATGACCATAATAGATCTCTAGATAACATGTCTGAAATCTTTAACGAACCCCTTTTTCTGAACCCTAAAATCGCGAAAGATAGTCTACCTCTCAACCCCTACTGGGTGGAGGCAGGAATTACCTTATTACGTGATATTACCTACGAGTTTTCCCCTGGTTTTCTCCCTGAACTCGCTATCAATGAATTAGTTGGTAGTAAATTTAAGCCTAAAGACCTTTCTTCCATTTTATCATGCCTTCCCCTTGAATGGAAAAATTTCATCCGTTCCAATTCTGCCCCTAAAGATCGCTTTTCTATTAATTTCACTCCGCCTATTAAAGACATTAAAAAGCCGCTTTGTAAATTATCTTCTAAAGACTTGTATCTCGCATCTCTTATGTCCTCAACTGATGTTTCTTCCCAAAAGTTTCGTGTTTATTGGGAAAAGAAATTCTCAGATCTTGATTGGGAATTTATATTGAAATCGATATTTACTAGAGATTCCGACCGTAAATCTTGCGACCTGCAATGGAAAATAATCCAACTCGCTATTCCCACTGCCGATCGTTTAACTAGGAACAAAATTATCGACAATCCTTTGTGCCCCCGCTGTAATAACCATAATGAAACTACACTACATCTCTTTATGCATTGCCGTCTAGTTTCGCTTCTGTGGGACACTGTCCTTTCGCATATCAAAAATCTTGATTTAGACCTAAATTTAGATTCTTTAGAACAATTTATTGTCATCGGTTTTGCTAGTATTAAACCTTCTCCTATTTACTCGCCTGCAATTGCCCTCCGTGATATAGCCCTCCTTGCTGTTTGGTCTTCTAGAAATAAACTCGTTTTCGATAATGAATCTATCGACCCCTCTAAAATTTTTACCGCTAAACTCCGCTCGAAAATAAAAGAGGAGTTTTTTCTCGTTAAATCCTCGTTCGCTGGTCTTTTTAATTTTAAAACCACTTGGTGTCGCAACAACGTTTTAGCTTCGGTTGTTGACGATAAACTTTTTATCCATTGTTAACCCCCCGATAGTATAACTTGACTGCTCTCTTCAACATCTGAGCAATATCGCACTCAGTGTTTTCCGAGACACTGAAGATTAACACATCTATTCAATGACACTTGAACATGATAATCCTCCCCACTGTTTACACAAAGATCCGATACCTCCCTTTGTGATTAATTTGGCTGTCTGGCTTTCGCAAACACTAATTAAAGCGCCTCACGCCATTCTAGAATTGGCGAGTTCGCTGCCTCGTTTCGAATTTACTAGAATAAAGAAAAAGCCCTTTCGAATAACTATACCCCATAGTCATACATTATTGTATTGATGAACCCCCACTTGTATATACACCCAGTCTTCGCATGAGCTGTAAATTTTTGGACTGGTTTATATTTTAATTGTATCGATAACATTCATTTATAAATAATACTTTTCTCTCACGCGTGTATCTTATATATTTTAACATTAACGTCATTTATAATTGTATATCACTTAAATTTATACCACCTTATATTTATACTTCTGTTTTCTATTCGTGAATTAATTTCATTATCATCTAACCTGTTAAATGCATAATTACCTTCAAACTAAACAATTGTGAACACTATCATTGTGAAATTAATTATATTAACTTTGTATGTAATAAATTGTAAATACTTGTTTTTTTCAATTACACGGGCGCTGGCATGTGCCAGGCTCAACGGAAAAAAAAAAAGTGATCAAGAAGGCGTTTCTTCCAGGGTGAGGCCCTTCCATTGCAGTTCGGTTGGGCTGACCCCTGCGATTACCCCAAACGTGGGTAACTCGACCGTACAATTTCTGGTAGTGGGGACCTGCGTTCGCGCTAGTCCCCTCACAATTGTCTAAAGAATCCAGCCAACCCAAGCAGAATCCCACAAGCAGTTCCTCAAATAAAGCCGCCCATTGCGCCTTCTTGATCACTCTCAATATACAATATACAATATACAATAGAGGTAGATTGTTATACAAAGACTTGTCATTGTTTGCTTTGCCTTTGTCTGCCTTAACCTTGTTCGTCGTCTGCCGTAGTAATGTTGTCTTAAATATGATCCTTTCAAGCAGGACAATCATCGTTTCTGAAATGTTATGGCTTTAGCATGCCTATCTTGTAGCATTTGATAAAAAAGGCCAAATTAATTCAAGTTCAACACAGAAAAAAATCTTCCTGTCCAAATATACATACTTTGCAACTTTCAGAGCAGCATGTTGCAAATCTCAAGCAAACCTATCTTCAATTCAAATTCAAATTCGAATTTATTTAATGCATCAAAATATGTTATAAAAGTTTGTCTATAATTATACTAAATAGCAATAATCAAGAAGCAATGATAAGAGCTTCATAGTGTCAATTAGCATTTGAGAATTAGAAACTTGGTAAAGTCAATTGACAAAGTGAAAGTGAAAGTCAAAACAATTCAGGCAAAAATTGAGGCAAGGATTTCTGTATCATTGCAAGAAGAATCTTGGGCCTATGGAAATCTGCATGGCCTATTTTTCACAATTCCAAATCAAATACTTTTTTTAGAAGACATTCGTTCTAATAGCCATTTGTAGGGATGATTGCAAAACAGAGTTTTGTTTTTATTTCCCTTTATGGTTTCATGGTTGGTTCTAATTGTTGGAGTGGCAAGATGCTTTTTGGTTGCTTAGCGGGTTTGATATCCATGTCAAGAAATCTAACTTGCAGCCAAGCTGACCATCATTACTGGGGATGAGCTGCCTGCACTTGAACGAGTCTCGACAACAACCAACCCCCCCCCCCAATACCCATTCTGAAGATTATGTAACTTAATTTCGGAAAAAATCTTGGATATTTTGGCAATTTTTGCAGCATAAAATTGAAAATATTGATTTTCATGAGTAGGCTTCAATAAGCTGGGCTTTCAGGGATTGTTCAATTCCCAATAATTACATGACAGGCCAATTGTGAAAGTGTCTTCGATGGATACCAAAGTGACTTGTAAAAAAAGAACAATCACAAAAGCATTTTGATTCATAGAGTTCAAAAAACCATCACTGATCTCTTATCGTTCGACGTTCGAACTATGGTGAACCTTTCCTTCAATTATATAAACTCTTTGGGTTTGCCACTCGAGTAATGAACAAGTGTCTATATGCAAGGTTTTGGCTTTCTTAGAATCATATCATCAGTCAGTGACAGAATGCAGTCATAGAACAGCTTCCATCCTCTCATCTTCTCAGTTTATCCCGTTCTCCAATCCGACTGCCACAAGGAAAGCTGAAAGTTAAGTTTAATCTTCTTCCCAATGATAGTCTAGTGGTCTTTTTGCCTCTTGGGTCACGGGGAGGCTCGTTCATGAATAGATAGTAAGAGTAAGCACAACAACACGGAGCAACAGCGCGCGCTGTAGAACTTAAGCCATATTTTTTCGAAGAAAGCGACTTTCCCTGCTGTTGCAGCTCACAACTGCTGCTGCATGCTGCTGAGTGGCCATGTGAAGCCGAATAACTCATTCACTAACTCACTTACCTCGACGACGTTCTTCAACATCCACAGATTGATTACTTTGCTGCTGGAGTGAGGGAGCAGGCAGGCAGGCAGGCAACAGGCAAAAAAACTGAGCGCTCCGCAAGCAACGAGGCAGACTTGTGGAGAGTCTGAACTGAAGACATGAGACTGGGTATCGCTTCTCGGCCTTTTGGCTAAGATCGAGTCCCACAAGTCAAGAGGTGGACATTGAAGAAGAATTGGCACAGCATCGTAGAGAGCAACACGAGAAGGGTGAGTTTAGCGTCACTTGTGGGACTTTCTCCCTGTTAGGACCTGTCGGTACGACGACCAACGCCCACTGCCACAGGTACCCTAACGGGGGAAGTGCTTTGGCTCTTGGCTTCGGCCACTAGCTAGGGCATGGCCGAGAAGCTTGCTCCAAAGGGCAGTAGGCCCTCTGGGAGCAAAGATCTAGTATCTTTTAATGAGTTAGAGAGCAGTTCTTGTGGAGATACTGATTCTGCCACAGAACGCCAACGTCTTGCCACGCATCAAAAGAAAATGCGTAAGTTTAGAGTACCGCAGGTACCCTCGTCTCGAAGATCGAAACCTGTCCGTTTACCTCCCACATCTGCCTCAGATGTCGTGAGCCGCCCGTTGTTGCCCACAAGCGCCGCCGAATCAACTCCCAGAATTGCCACGGGAGAAAACAGCCGTCCGTCAAAAAGTCCCTCAATTGCTACAGGAGCAGAAAGTCCCGTAATCGCAACAGGAGGAAGAAACCGTCCCTATGCTGTAGACCAGACAGGTCGTCCTCCCCGAAGCTATGCAGCTGCTGCTACAATCGCTCTCACGGAAGTTATGGTGGGGAGGTCAGGTAACCTGAGAAGCAACCCACCCATGGGAAGAGACAGGCCGCGATCCATCTGTGTCCACGCTACAGATGGGCTGATCGACTGCAGGGCCTTCATTCAGAAGCTGGCAAATAACGACCTCAAACCAACTCACCTCCAAAAGCTGCCAAATGGGGACCTGGAAGTTACTTTTGCGTCGATTGGGGACAGAGACCAGTTCCTTAGCCTAGAATTTGTTCGTCGCCCGCGAATACCATGGAAGCCGGGTCTTCAGCATCCACCCCCTGTATGGGTTCGCATCTTCCACGTTCCCGCGGAGCTGCTGCCGGAAATTGTACAGAAGAGGATGGAGAATTTCGGTCGTGTCCTGTTTGCTAGGGAGAATATTCACCCTGGTACAGATATAGGAAATTGTGCGATGACCCTTAAAATGGTCATCAAAGAAGCCATTCCTAGCTATGTACACGTTGGTCCATACTGTCTACTTGTTCGACATGAGGCCCAGCCAATGACTTGTCGGAGATGTGACAGTAGGGACCATTTCGCCGCCAATTGCACCATTAAAAGGTGCTTTAACTGTGGGTCTAATGGCCATATCAATGCCGACTGCCCCAAGGCCAGTCGCTGTCAGGGTTGTGGTTCGACTGAGCACCATGTTGTTCAGTGCGATGCCGCATGGACTTCCGAGGCAAACAGGTACATCGACTCCTCCTCTGCTGCCTCTACCGACGACGAAGCCGACAGCATTTCCATTCCAGAAACGCCGACTAACACCAC